GTGTGTGTCTGTGTCTGGCCACTGCTCTGCTTTTATTCCACAACTGGCTCCTGGAAGAACTCACTCTGATTAGAAAACCCAGCACCAATGTATATATATGGATATTTTTCTATCTATCAATCTGTTGATCCTTCAATGGTTCAGATATTCTGTAATTCCTTATCTAGTCAGTTCCTGGACCCTTCTGGATCTCAAGTTTTGCCTTCTACAGCCAGCTCTTTCACAAAGTGGCTCCCTCATTTGCAAAGCTGCAGACTGTGTTTACTTTCTTCGTATTGCAAGGATTTGAGTACTTATAGTCTGACATAATGAAGCCTAGATTGTCATGGAGGTCCTGCTGGGCTATCTGGGGACATGGAGACAGAACCCAAGTGTCCTCTTGAACTCAAGAAGGAGGATTCTCATTGACCAGTGCGGAAAGAAACTGATATATAGAAGAGAGAGAGAACTGCAATCTTGGGCTCCTTTTATTACCATTAAGATACATTAGCAGATGGTATTAGAAATATCACCTTTAACATGCACCCTGCTGTCCAAAACCACTTAGAGGGAAGGAAGATGGAAATATCAGAAGCATCCCTGCTGAGCAGAAGCCTCACTCTACCACCTGGTGTAATCGACCATTACAGAAGCCAAGGGCAGTTGCATTTTGAGCCACACAAACAAACTACACAGGCACAGCAATGCTGTTCTGCATGCTGGACCAGGCAGAACTAGTTCCACTAATTAGATCTTGTGTTTTGACTTCTGCAACCTTTGTGTCACTGTGTCCAGGTGGCTTTTATTATCTTTTTCTTAAGAGGCGGTGGTGGGGGGAAATGAGTAAGTGCCATAATTACTGCAACCAACCCTATGCTTTGAGTGAAGGTCTTACAAAGTTCTGGCTAAAAAGTGTTATAAAGCTTTCCACTGTATAAAGGAAAAAGTTGTCTGGTCACAGTTTTTGTAGGAAGTGAACAGTTCAAATTTAGGCAGTTCTCATTTTCATTCTCATTTCCCCTTGTCCAGTTCATTGCTGTTCCAAATAATTCACTTTGGGTCTAACAGGCTTTGTGTTCTCTGCAACCTGCCACCTCCCAGCCTAAGGAAAATGATATTCACCCCTTCTGACCTACAACAGCAGGAAAGATGCTGCTGTGTGTCATAGAGGTGGCGCAATGCCCTATTTGTTTTTGCAAATATTAAGAAAAAGGCTAAAACTGAAAACATGGCTAAGCAGCGGAATGCAAGTGTCCTTCCTTAAAGAGAGATGGAAGACCATACATTAAGAGGAGTGGAGACAGATATTTGAGAAACAGAGGTTTAGCTCCCATGGAATCAGCATAGAAATCAGCAACTGAGACTCCTGCACAGCTATTCAAGGCAGCAGATCTGCTTATCCCTTAGATCACTCCTTACTCCTTTTCCTTGGGACAGCCTGTCACCAGGTAAAGACCGTTGAAAGTCTCTAAAAAAGTCCCTAACAGAAGTCTTCCAAGTCCTGGTCTGAAGGAGCTCCTGGCCTAACAAAGAGTTCTTTCACAGGAGGTACAATGTCCTCCAGCCTACAGCACCTGACTCCAGGCAGTAACTACCTCTCTTCCAGCACTAAAGTCAGCAAGAACATAGTTTCTGAGATCTAAAATAAGCCTGCAGTTAAGCTCAATTTGAAGTGAATTCCTTATCTCCTAAAGTCAGTTTTACAGTCTCTTATTCAGGCTCCTGCTTTCCTACCCTACCCAGCTGCAAATACCCTAGCAGCAGAGAGACCCTCCCAAGAGACTGCCCAGGTCAAGGCAAGGAGGAGCCTGAGGATGCCTCAGAAATAAGCTCCCATTAAGGAATCTGAATATAAATTAGCACTTTACCCATACAGTACTTTTGCAAGCCTTGTTTCTGAGCCACCTCTGCTTGTAAACAGGCTGCTTTGAATAACTTTGAAGAGGTGTGTTCCTGTTGTAACAGTCCTCACCTCAACAAGCTCTGTGGGAAGGCAGAAGATGAGTCCTACCCAGCAATCAGATCTCTGAGGGGGCAGAAAGCTGTTCTTGTGCCCCTCAGGCCTGCCCTGCCCTCCCCGAACATAGGTGAGCCGCGCTGCCAGGGCTCCTCTTGTGTCAGCCTGGCTGGCAGTCAAGCCAGGCCAGGGAAAGGCCCCCTGATTTTAAGGACTAGGAAGCTGTCCTCCAGCTGTGGCTTGAAACTGTGGCTTCAGAGAGGAGTGTATCAGGGTGCATGGGAAGTGGGAGACCCAATAACACCAGGAATTCTTAAAAAATGTTAAAGAACTGATTTCAGTCTTTTAGGGAGGCAGTGGCTGGCTTCAGTGAACGAAGTGTTGCGTGCATCCTACACACAATGACAGAGGAGTTTGCTTGAAAATCAGAGCAGGAAACCCAGTGTGTGCATCCTTTCCCTCCATGGACCCACACTGAGCTACTTCCACATTAGCAGAGAGAACCAAACC